TCTGTAGAGGGTACTTCTCCCCTAACCCACGATGTCAGCGATGGCACTAGGGTAGATGGCAGACCAGAGGCCTAGCTTCTCCCTACGAGCCCCGTGAGGGCGGGGAATGTGGCTAGGCCTGGGGACACTTGGTCCCAAAGATGAGGAGGTACTTTTACCTCCTCCCATGGGAGACTTAAGTCTCGAGACACTCCCCAGATAGGGAGCCAAGGCCGGGTCACCACTACTTGGAAAAGACCCGGGCCGGGAGAATACCGGCGAATAAAAAAAAAAAAAAAAAAAAAAACTGCAGGGAGTGCCGGGCTCACAGGAACTTCCACTACAGGGACAGCATCGTGGAGTTCGACCGCGAGGCAGCTGTCAGGTGTGCCACAGGCAGTGTGTACTCAGTTCCTCAAGCTTCAACATCCGTACACACAAGGGCCTGGGATCTTCAATCAACTTGGCGTCCACCAGGACGCTGACATGTCCCTAGGGGAGCTCTCCATCGGGCTGTTAATGGAGTCACTGGCTTCTTGGACCTCTTGGGGAGGGTCGATGGTGTTCGTGCAAGCAGCAGATCCCAGGGCAACTTGCTGCTGTTTGCAATGGCTGTCTACCGAGGAGAGACAGGCACCTAGCAACATCTGTTGTTGGGGCATTGGATGAATTCCCTACTATGTTTGTTAACTGCTCATTACTCTGTAATTTGTCTATGATTGTAATCATGTGATAACGTGTTTATAATTCATTACCTTTGAAACTTGTCATGATTTTGACCAGCTCTACCTGATTAATGTGTCATGATTAATGTCATGATTAATGTCTCATGATTAATGTGTTTATGATTCATTACCTTTGCAATTATTCATGAGTGTGACCAGCTCTACCTGGAGCTCATTACCTTTGTAAATTCTCATGATTAATGTGTTTATGATTCATTACCTTTGCAATTATTCATGAGTGACCAGCTCTACCTGGAGCTCATTACCTTTGTAACTTGGTCATGATTATGACCAGATCTAGTTCATTACCATTGTAACTTGCTCAGCTATCAAAACTTTGGAGTCCAGTCCCTGGACCAATTATGTACCTCTGTAATCTTTTGACTACCGCCCACAGGATGGGTATGGGGTGCATAATAAACATATTAAAAAAAAAAAAAAATAAAAAAAAAAAAAAAAAAAAAAGTTTCCCCAGAAATGCAGTCACAGTGTGATGGGCATCAATGACAGTCGTGTTTCGGCCCTGGAGTTGCAGATTACCACTGTTCAGCTCCGCAAATATGTCAGCCAAGTAACAAAGTCGAGCAAGCCACTCCTTATCGGTGAACTTGGTAGCAAAAGGAGATCCTTTTTGTTCCAGGAATTCCTGAACAGCTTTTCGGAGCTCAATGACTCGACGTACAACCTTGCCTCGTGGCAACCAGCGAACATCGGTGGGTAGAGCAGAACTTGATACTGCTCTCCCATTTCCTTGCACAGCTCCTTGAATATGCGCGAATTCACATCTCTGGACTTGATGAAGTTGACGATTTTCAACACATCTTCAAACACTAACTTCAGATTACCAGGCAGGCTTTTCGATCCAAGAGAGTACCGATGAATGATGCAGTGATCTACAGAAATTTCTGGATTGATAGCTTGTATGAGGCCCCGTAATCCACGATGACCACCCATCATCGACGGTGCTCCATCGACGGAGACCTGGAATAAAAAGAAAAATTATTATAGACTGCGTCAGTTAGTCATTGTTACTTATCTTTTGCGTTATAATTATACGGTTTTAATTAATTATTTCGGTACTTGAGTATTTCAGTACGACAGGCACGATATTTTTTGTCTGAATCATGTACAAAATATTAGCTACACTACAGTTACTTGTACAATAAATAAAACTGTATATGACTATATGCCGTTGTAATTCATTGTATTTATACTAATTTAGACTTTATATAAAACATCGTTTCCTACCTGTTGAACGCTGTTCCAATCCAATCCATTCTTGGTAAAGAAACTCTTGATGATATTGAAGACATCTTCTCCCTTTGTGGTTGTCAGCAGATCCTCGCATAATAGGAACTCTTCTTTGATCTTGTCCTGGGTGACGTAACGGACGAACCCAAGGAGAACAGCACAACTGGCTACGTCACACGATTCATCAAATTGCAAGGAGATTTGCCATATGAGCTTTCCTTGATCTCTGTTGTAACTTGGGACAGGATATCTGATGCCATGTCATCGACTCGTCGGCGGATGGTGTTGTTGATAGAGATATGACACTCAGTTTCTTCGCTTGATCCTCCCCACATACCTTGCTTACCATCTCGTATGCACAAGGCATAATCAGATTCTCTGCAATGGTGTGGCATTTCTGTTGTTCGGCAATTTTATATGCAACACAGTAGGATGCTTCGACCGCAGCTTGAAGCTTTTGGGCTTGAATTCCAGATGAGCCGAACTGGATATTCTTCAGTGCTACAGCCTGGCGCTGAAAATAAGCCTGATCCTTATTTTGAAGATTTGGATGGCACTTCTGGAGGTGAGCTGAGAGTTTTGATGGCTTGAGGCTTTCATTTGTCAACACTTTGTGACATGCCACACATTGTGGCCGATCCTCTCCACCAGAAGTTAAATTCACAAAGCCATGGCGAAGAAAGGCGTCAGTGTAGGTGCGCTTTTTGGACATTTTCTTGTTCAATCTGCAGAAAAAGAATATCCATGCATACACTGCAAAACGCAAGGTACATAATTTCTCGCATGGCAGCTAACACAAGTTCACTGATGCAAGCACACACACCATACATTCAAAATTGTCAGGCTGCAAGTATCATGCTTGTCAGCACAAGAGCACCGTGTAGCGCGAGACTACAGTGAACGTATACAGCCTCGCATACTCTGCTAATCCTAGCAAAACCCACTGAAAACGTAAGAACCACACATACATTATAATTATAAAATTAATAATAGCTACAAATTCACAGTAACAGTGGGTAAATACTAACTATAATACTGCACAGGGCAGTACACATACATACCAGCTTATGTTCTACCTTGGCTGATGCTCACAGATAAACTGACAGTGTGAAATAGAGGCAGCCTCAGGAAGTGAGTGACGCGTACTGGACAGGTCGATCTGGGCTACTGAGTGACTTTTGTCCTGAAGCATACTTGTCAAAATACTTTTGGGTTTCCACACACTTAGCTATATATTTCTTCTTTTCTAATACTGTATATTAGTTTTTGATGTTTATTGTTATTTGGTTTAACTTTATTACTTACTTATAATAGGTTTACTTTACAACTTTATATACTAAGACAAAGTTAACAATAATCCTCATACCGTGTACCGCATTGTTTTCTTGATTTTCAGAATTCATAACTTTTTTTCTGTCACCCCTCCATTACCCCCCAAAAATGGTTAAATTACCCCCAGGGGGTAATTTACCCCCAGTTTGGGAACCACTGTTATAGAGGTTTAGGATTTTATATAAAAAATTTTGACATCTTTATCAATATTATTACTGTCAGCTAGCTCTCTCTGCCAATCAGTGGCACCTAGTGCTAGTTTTAGGTTGTTTATCGATGTCTTGTCATGCAGGCAAAATGAGATCTTTCTTGTTTCTTGAGACAATTTAGATAAGTTGGTTATGAGAAAGTTAGGGTAGTGGTCTGTGGTGTTGTCTGTGATTATACCTGCTTGTAGTGGGGATATTGTGTTGGTCCAAATATGGTCAAGTAATGAGGCACTTGTCACAGAGATTCTTGTTGGCTTCGTTATAGAGGGTAGCAACAAGCTGTTGTTCATAGTACATGTATTTGTGAAATCAGCTACTGGAGGGTCAATTGCTTGGATGAGGTTTATGTTGAAATATCCTGCTAGTATCAGATGGTGTTTACTCATCTCTGACTCAGTTATCATGTTTCTAAGGTTACTGCTAAAAGTGTAAGTATTTGTGTGTGGTAGTCTGTAGACTGCGCCAACTGTTATAGGTTTCTTAAGTGTTCTTGATGTGAATTTAGCTATTATATTTTTGACGTTTTTGTCCCGTACATTAATTGACTTCATATATTCTAGTTCATCAGAGTAATAGATGGTAGTACCTCCTCCTGATTGGTCAGGCCTGTAGTTATGTATGGCTGTGTAACCAGGTATGGTAAATATGTCTGTCAGATCTTGTCTGAGCTAGGTTTCAGTAAGTATAATGAAAGTTATAGTAGCAGTTAGAGACTTCAGTAGTGCAATGAAGTCATCATAGTGTTTATTCAATGATCTAACATGGTAGTTGAAGACTGTAATGTTCTTGCTGACACTGAGAAGGGTATTAGCCTGACTAGCAGTGTAGTAATGGCAATTACTATTAGGATTATGTGTGCAGTTCAATAAGAGGTTGATGTCAGGATCAATAATTGCATTCATAAGGGGTACGTAGAGAAATAGCTGTTACAGTTATTAAAAAACAAAAAGCAATTGATGTTAAACCACTAACAAATATGAACATATGAACTAAGATAATTATTTTAAATCTAAAAATAATGGAGCTACTAAATATAAAAGTAAAACAAAGAGAATAAGACACTTTAGTGCCTGAGTTAGCACCTTGATTATTTTAAAGTTAAAAGTAATGGTTTTGAGTATAAAATAAAACAAAGAAAATAAAACACTTAAGCACCTGAGTTAGCACCTAAAATAGCACCTTATGAATCTTAAGTAACTGGGAATTAATTAATGTTATTCACTAACAGATATGAAAATATGGGTTAAAATAAGGGTGAATTCTACTATACTACAGCACTGTACATGGTAGATATTGTGTTGAGATATGGCTTAATGAGGTTCAGTCAAACCAATGAATGAGAGGAAACATGCTAGTTATTGATCATTTGTTATTTCAGACCTACGACCCATGTCTGATAATTTTACCATGATAATGCTGTCATGAGTAAAGCGCTGTTTTATTGTTGCATTGTTATCACTCTTAAGTTTTCGAAGTCTGTATAATAGGTTCTGTCGTTTTTTAGTTAGGCACCAGTGTCCAGCACCAGTGTCCAGCACCAGTGTCCAGCACCAGTGTCCCTCACCAGTGTCCTGCACCAGTGTCCCATGCCAGTGTCCAGCATCATTGTCCCACACCAGTGTCCTACACCAGTGTTCAGCACAAGTGAGTCATGATACAATCAGGTTTCCCTCATATTTCTTCTCTATGATGGCTGTGTCTTGGTCAAATTAGTCACCATGAGGTTCTGTTTTATAGAAAGTTAATGTGTTGGAGCAAAACTAAGTTTAGATTTAAATTCAAGTTTCCTACTTAACTAGAAATGCATGTTTTAAAACTTGAAGTTAAACTTGCCCAGAATATCTAGTACTGCTGAAATCTTAGTACAAACCGATTTATAAAAAGATCTCATTTAACTTTTCTTTTACAGTTGGTGTTTACAGTATCAGTACTGTAGTAAACATACCATGCTGACACCTAGTGTCACCACACCGAAGAAAATGATGAAAGTCCTGAGATCAACTAATGTCAGCACCAAGTTTACTAAGGCATCCTACACTGTCTAAAATACTGAGTACAACTGCTGTCAGCACCAAGTTTAATGAAGTATATTATACTGTCTGAAATACTGAGTACAACAATTAATATAGGATAACATAAGGTTTGTTTATGGAATATTTAAAGTTATACGACCTACACTAACACAAACTTAAACAACTTAGATGACCTGCACTAACACCCACCTTACCCTTTCAGGGTTTCCGATGTACTAGTACAGCTTACACACCAGGGTTATTGATATACTAGTATGCCTAAATTCTAGTGCCTTCAAATCTAGTGAGAGAAAGCTGGTAGGCCTACATATGAAAGAATAGGTTTATGCGGTCAGTGTACACAGTATAAAAAAAATCCTGCAGCACACAGTGTATAATGAGAAAAAAAAAAACTCAGACTGTGTTTTTGGTTTAAAACAGCGACTTTGCAGTGCATTTTTGTATGGTATTTATAGTTGTATTTTAGTTTTCCTGGTCTTATTTTATAGAATGGAAGACATATTAAGAAAACGAGATGATTTTGATTAGTTTCGTAACGAAAAGTACCTTGAAATTGAGCTCAAAGTAGAAGAAATGTTCGATTTTTACCAAAGTTCAAAATGTAAATGAAATATTAAAGCTATCCAATACACTAACAAAGTAAAAATTCTTCACAATGCCTGATATTATCTTATACCTTTCTACACTTTAAGGTTTCGATGATACAGTATCTTCAATCATTTATTGTGTAAAAATTAAATAAATGCAAAAGTGACCTCATAAGGGGGCTGGACGCTACATATGAAAGAAAAAGTTATTGTCAGTGTCAAGTATATACTTGATTATTCTGGACCCTTGGAAATGGAATCTAACAAATAGTGTGTGATATTGGCTAAAATTGCCATTTCTGACAGCTCACTTTATTGGTAGTTTATGTTAATATAGGTGGTTTCTTGTACTTATTATAGAAAAACATGAGTTCTAGAAAAGATATGATTTTTGTAATAGTTAACTAGAAATGTAGCTTGAAATAGAGCTCAAAGTGGAAAATCGCCACTTTGACATTCAGAGCATAATCGTATGTATTCCTATCATAATTATCATACTTTTGGTCTTATCTTATGATCGGAAAGATTCTATCATTTCATAAGAAAACATATATTTTTTTTTTCAAAAAAATTTCAAACTGAGAACGATTAGGAGAGAGGTCTCTGACATGAAAGGAATGTATTACACAATTCACTATGACCTGTGCTAATCACCCACTTGGAACAATTTGCACATAGTCTCAAATATTTTACTGAATCTCAGCACCACTAACTTCACAACTACTCACTACCACTTTGGATATTAAATCGAGCTAATGGGACTTACTTACACACCTACTCGATAACCAATGTAACTAACAAATGTTTCTGTACTCAGACACTGATGCCACTTAAATGCTAATGCAAATCCACCTAGCATCACTTATCTTACGAACATAATGCGATGTTCTTCACATTCATACTAGGACCACTTAATACGACAATATAGATCCTTATACTTACACAGAACTAAAACATCAGCAAAATCCACTTGACTGACACGAGCTACATCTCGCACCACTTAAGTTACAACAACTCCTCCTAGGTACCACTTAATACAATCTAACATCAGTCAACACTTAACTTTACATCACCTCAGCACCCACTTAACACAACCTACCTCAGCACCCACTTAACTTACACAACCTACCTCAGCACCCACTTAACTTACACAACCTACCTCAGCACCCACTTAACTTACACAACCTACTCAGCACCACTTAACTTACACAACCTACCTCAGCATCCACTTAACTTACACGACCTACCTCAGCACCCACTTAACTTACACAACCAACCTCAGCACCCACTTAACTTACACGAACCTTACTCAGCACCCACTTAACTTACAACTACCTCACACCCACTAACTGCAGACCTCATCAGCACCCACTTAACTTACACAACCTACTCAGACACCACTTAACTTCACAACCTACTCAGCACCATTAACTTACATAACCATTACACAACCTACCTCAGCACCCACTTAACTTACACAACCTGCCTCAGCACCACTTAACTTACACAACCTTCCTCAGCATCCACTTAACTTACACACCTACTCAAACCCACTTAACTTCACAACCACCTCAGCACCCATTAACTTACAACCTACTCAGCACCCACTTAACTTACACAACCTACCTCAGCACCACATTAACTTTTGTAACGAAATACTCTTCAACATCTAAATGTAAAAAAGTAGATCTCTTTTGTTACTTTGAAACTGAAAACAATTTCTACCTTTTCTGTATTTAAGATTTAACTAAATAACTACTTCAGCACTCACTTAACATACCACCCTTCCTCAGCATTCCACTTAACTTACACAACCTACCTCAGCACCCACTTAACTTACACAACCTACCTCAGCACCCACTTAACTTACCCAACCTACCTCAGCACCCACTTAACTTACCCAACCTACCTCAGCACCCACTTAACTTACACAACCTACCTCAGCACCCACTTAACTTACCCAACCTACCTCAGTAATAAACTTGAGACACCTACTTCAACACCCACTTAACTTCACACCAACCTCAGCCTCCACTTAATTTACACAACCTACCTCAGCACCACTTAACTTACCAACCTACCTCAGCACCCACTTAACTTACACACTACCTCAGCACCCACTTAACTTACACAACCTCCTCAGCACCCACTTAACTTCACAACCTACCTCAGCACTCACTAATACCAACCTACCTCAGCACCCACTTAACTTTACACAACCTACCTCAGCACCCACTTAACTTACAACCTACCTCAGCACACCACTTAACTTACACACCTACATCAGCACCCACTTAACTACCAACCTTCCTCAGATCAACTTGCACGACCTACTTCAACACCCACTTAACTTCCACAACCAACCTCAGCACCCACTTAATTACACAACCTACCTCAGCACCACTAACTTACACAACCTACCTCAGCACCCACTTAACTGTACAACACTTACCTCAGCACCCGCTTAACTTACACAACCTGCCTCAGCACCACTTACTGAACCTACCTCAGACCTACAAACCTACTCACCACCACTCAACCTATCTCAGCACCCACTTATACATAACCACCAGACCACCTACACGACTACATCACACCCTAACTTATACAACCTTCCTCAGCATCATGCATGACCTACTTCACACCCACTTAACTTCACAACCATACCTCAGCACCCACTTACTTATGCAATGACTACACCACTACACAACCTACCTCAGCACTCACTTAACTTACACAACCTCCTCAGCACCCACTTAACTTACACAACCTCCTTCAGCATCCACTTAACTTACACGACCTACTTCAAACACCCACTTAACTCCCACAACCAACCTCAGCACCCACTTAACTTACACGACCTACCTCAGCATCCACTTAACTTACACAACCTACCTCAGCACCCACTAACTTACACAACCTACCTCAGCATCCACTTAACTTACACAACCTACCTCAGCACCCACTTAACTTACACAACCTACCTCAGCATCCACTACTTACACACCACCACACACTTACACCATGTACCTCAGCACCCACTTAACTTACACGACCTACCTCAGCATCCACTTAACTTACACAACCTACCTCAGCACCCAGTTACAACCTACTCACAACTTAATAACACTACCTCAGCATCCACTTAACAACAACCTACCTCACACCACCTACTTCCACAACCAACCTCAGACCCCACTTAACTTACACAACCTACCTCAGCACCCACTTAACTTACACAACCTTCCTCAGCACCCATTAACTTACACAACCTACTAGATCCACTTACACGACCACCCAACACCCACTTCCACGACCAACCTCAGACCCATTAACTTACACAACCTACTCAGCACCGACTTAACTTACACAACTTCCTCAGCACCACTTAACTTACTATACACTCAGCACCCACTAACTCCACAGCCAATCTCACATCCATTACTTACACGACCTACCAGCACACTTAATTACAAACGTCTCAGCAACACACCCTATAGACTTACACACCTACCTAGCATCCACTTACTACCATACCTCACACACTTAACTACACAACCACCTCAGCATCCACTTAACTTACACAACCTACCTCAGCATCCACTTAACTTACACAACCTACCTCAGCACCCACTTAACTTACACAACCTACCTCAGCATCCACTTAACTTACACAACCTACCTCAGCACCCACTTAACTTACACAACCTACCTCAGCATCTACTTAACCTACATGACCTACCTCAGCACCCACTTACACAACCTACCTCAGCACCCACTTAACTTACACAACCTACCTCAGCATCCACTTAACTTACATGACCTACCTCAGCACCCACTTACACAACCTACCTCAGCACCCACTTAACTTACACAACCTACCTCAGCATCCACTTAACTTCCACAACCATCCTCAGCACCCACTTTACTTACACATCCTGCCTCAGCACCCACTTACACAACCTACCTCAACATCCACCTAACTTACATGACCTACCTCAGCATCCACTTAATTTACACAACCTTCCTCAGCATCCACTTAACTTACACAACCTACCTCAGCACCCACTTAACTTACACAACCTGCCTCAGCACCCACTTCACTTCCACAACCAACCTCAGCACCCACTTACATGACCTACCTCAGTACCCACTTGCAGAATCTACCTCAGCACCCACTTGCACAATCTACCTCAGCACCCATTTACACAACCTACCTCACCATCCACTTAACTTACACAACCTACCTCAGCACCCATTTACACAACCTGCCTCAGCACCCACACAACCTGCCTCATTTATTTTAAAACTTATTGAAGTTAAAGAGTTCACACATTACTGATACTTAATACGTTATTTATTAAAATTTACGAAGAAAAAACATTGTACAAACCTCATTGTAAATATTTTATGACAATATTTTTTCTTTTAAATCTGTGTTAGTTACAAGAGTTTATATGAAAAGAATTTCCTATAAGTTGTCCAATATTTTTTCAGAAAAACCTTCGCTGTAGACCGTAATAAATGTGAGACAATATAGAGAGGAGTACAAAATGTGAACTACTGTAAGTATATTGTGTGAAGTACAGTAAGTATATTGTTTTGTTAAGTACAATAAGTCTATTGTTATGTAAAGTACAGTAAGTCTATTGTTATGTGAAGTACAGTAAATCTATTGTTGTATGAAGTACAGTAAGTCTATTGTATGAAGTACATTAGTGCATAACATACAAAAATTACTGATTTATTTAGTGCTAAAAACTTGAAATAAATCAAAGGCAACATGAAAGTAATGAAGAAACTCCATCAGTGTTCTGTTTGTGGTGAAGTTTTTTTAACTAATTCTAAACTCTTGAGACATAGTGTTACTCATACAAGAGAGAAGCCTTATCATTGTTCAGTGTGTCTGAAAGACTTTGTTAAAAAATCCTCACTAAATCAACATCAGATAGTTCATACAGGAGAAAAGCCATATCATTGTCCAGTGTGTCTGAAAGACTTTACTACAAAATTCTCACTAAAACAACATGAGAGAATTCATACTGGAGAGAAACCATTTCAGTGTTTAGTGTGTCTGAAAGACTTTGCTAAAAAATCCTCACTAAATCAACATCAGATAGTTCATACAGGAGAGAAGCCATATCATTGTCCAGTGTGTCTGAAAGACTTTACTTTTAAATCTTCACTAAAACAACATGAGAGAGTTCATACAGGAGAGAAACCATTTCAGTGTTTAGTGTGTCTGAAAGGCTTTGCTAGAAAATCCTTACTAAATATACATGAAAGATTTCATTCAGGAGAGAAACCATTTCATTGTTCAGAATGTTTAAAAGATTTCAGTGATAAATCCTCACTAAACAAACATCAGAGACTTCATACAGGAGAGAAACCATTTCAATGTTCAGTGTGTCTGAAAGACTTTGCTAAAAAATCCTTACTAAATATACATGAGAGAGTTCATACAGGAGAGAAGCCTTATCATTGTTCAGTGTGTCTTAAAGACTTTTCTTATAAATCCTCACTAGACAAACATGAGAGAGTTCATACGGGAGAGAAACCATTTCAGTGTTTAGTGTGTCTGAAAGCCTTTTCTAGAAAATCCTTACTAAATATACATGAGAGAGTTCATACAGGAGAGAAGCCTTATCATTGTTCAGTGTGTCTGAAAGACTTTACTTATAAATTCTCACTAGACAAACATGAGAGAGTTCATACAGGAGAGAAGAACTATCAGTGCTCAGTGTGTTCACAACAATTTTCTGTAAAATCTTCTCTAGTGAGACACATGAAGACTCATACAGAAGAAACAACACATGAGTGTCCAGAGTGTCAGAAAGTATTTTCAAGTGACTCTCTTTTAGTTAAGCACATGACACTTCATAAAGAACATAAACCATACAAGTGTTCAAGGTGTCTGGAAAATTTTTCTCATGAAGCTAACTTAGTAAATCATATGATAACTCACTCATGAGAGAGAATACATAGCAATGTGAATGTTTGAAAAACTTCTTAAGAAAATCTCGATTTTGGAAAACCTCAGGAAAGTGTTTTCATGTGTTTCCTAGTGGTCACCAGAGTGTACTGAGTTCATCTGACTCAAAGGTGCAACAGGGTCAGGAACAGATGTAGTTTTGCTGCTACATGCTATCAAAATTACAAGCATGAGCACATACTCAGTATGTCAGGAGCCAGGCATGATTGTTGGTCGACTGACATTTTAATTTTGAATGACACCAGTTCTAGGAGCCCAGTATGGAAAATGGTGTGGAAATTGGCAGACAGGTACTTCAGGTACTCACATGAATCAGTTCCAGTGCTCAACATTGCTGGTGCAGAATTGCCAGATTAAACTGATGTTGCAATTTCTAAAGGATGTCATAATCATATTTTCCTTGCACACACCTGTCTCCTGCTTTACATCATTCTAAATTCCTTTTGGAATTTACTTCTTTATACTATACCTCTTCTCATTAAAATATATGTTCTATATACCATCCTTGAACTTGTATCAGCATTCTTTAAGTGTCAGCCTATTACAGCTGGTCATGATGGTTTACATGTTTTCATGAATATGATTATAATGAATTACCCAAGCTGTACTGACTAAAATTTTATACAGTAGGGCCCCACTTATACGGCACGTTAGGTCCACTACAGCTTAGCAGATATACATAAAGCGACACCTGTTCACTTATAAGATAGAGCCCACTATGCAGTAAAAAAAGACACAAAAAGTAAATAACAGTAGTACCTCATACTTACTTAAAAATTTGCCTAGTCTTATCTAGGGCCGATATAGTAGCCATTATACTGCAAGTTATATCCAAGTGTGTAGATGGTATGCAGCCAGTAAAGCAGCACACCACTTTTTTCACTTTAAATCACTGGCCAAGTAAAATACACATATCAGTACACTCATTACTTACCTTAAATATTTGTAGTCTTAATTAGGGCGAGATGAGTAATTAATAAAATCAATGATGTATGGAGAGCCAGGTACATACCAGAGAACCACCACACATAATATGTATAACATTACATCGCGTATCTAACGTTACCAACTACCTAAAAATTGTAGTCTTAATGTAGGGTCAGAAGTGAGTAAATGAGATAAAATGAATAAATGAGAGAGAGAATGAGTACATGAGAGAGGACACTAGCGGAGTTATGTAAACAAACTAGGCGTATGCGAGTTTTGTAAACAAACCAGGCAAACACATCTGGTTTGTGTACAAGTTATACTGTGTGCAAGTTGTCTCTATGTTGATATGGTAAAATAAATAAAGAGGAACACTCCCATTCTCATGTAACACCTTTTTAGAAGAAATGACTAGCGAAAACGTTATTCTTACCATCTCTCGTACAAGTTTTCTGGCTACCACATCTCATATTTGTTTGTTTATTCTACTGTGGGGTGTATTTATCATCTTTATATGTTATTTATCGTGTTTATTATATAATTTTGAAAAAAATATCATAACTGGATTAATGAAAATGTGTATACTAACCCTTTCAGGGTTTCCGATGTACAGTGGACCCCCGGTATTCGATATTAATCCGTTCCTGAGAGCTCATCGAATACCGAAAATATCGAAAAGTGAATCAATTTTCCCCATAAGAAATAATGGAAATCAAATTAATCCGTGCAAGACACCCAATAGTATGAAAAAAAAAAATTTTACCACATGAAATATTAATTTTAATACACACAAACTGAAGAAGACATGCACAGTTACATGACACTTACCTTTATTGAAGATCTGGTGATGATTGATGGGATGGGAGGAGGGGAGAGTGTGGATGGTGTTAGTGTTTAGAAGGGGAATCCCCTTCCATTAAGACTTGAGGTAGCAAGTCCTTTTTTCGGGGTTAGTTCCCTTCTTCTTATAATGCCACTAGGACCAGCTTGAGAGTCACTGGACCTCTGTCGCACAGCAAATCTGTCCATAGAGCTCTGTACCTCCCGTTCCTTTACGATTTGTCTAAAATGGGCCACAACATTGTCATTGTAATAGTCACCAGCACGGCTTGCAATAGCTGTGTTAGGGTGATTTTCATCCATAAAGGTTTGCAGTTCAACCCACTGTGCACACATTTCCTTAATTTTTGAAGTAGGCACAATGGATTCCATAACTGGCATAGGCTTCTCAGGGTTAGCCCCAAACCCTTCAAAATCTTTCTTAATTTCTATACTGATTCTCACCCTTTTTACCACAGGGTTGGCACTAGAAGCTTTCTTGGGGCCCATGGTGACTTATTTTGCAGAATCAAGCACCAAAAACAGTGATAATATGGATAATATGGAATGTACCGAATGTATTCTTAGATGCGCGCACACTGGCTGGCTTGTAAACACTGGCACACACGGGGCAGTTCAGGCCACACATGGACACGTCTCGTACGAATCGTATCGAATAGCTGGGTTTTCAATTGGATACTGAGGCAAAATTTTTGCGTTAAAATGCATTGAATACCGGATTTATCGAATACCGATGCCATCGAATACCGGGGGTCCACTGTACTAGTATGGCTTACGCGCCAGGGTTATTGACGTACTAGTACGCATAAATTCTAGCACCTTCAAATCAAGTGGGAAACAGTTGGTAGGCCTAGATGTGAGAGAATAAGTCTGCGTGGTGAGTGTGCGCAGTAGGAAAAAATTCTGGAACACAGTGGCGCATTGTGGGAATGCCATTTTAGTACACCTTGCTCACCATGCCTTGCGGTAAGAAACTCCTTACTCCTCGGCGAATTGGGACACTTTTGTTCCCCAGTGACAGTTCTGATACAGATGGAAGTGCCAGTGATGATGAGTTTCAAGGTTTTGATGAGGTTGTGACTGAAACTAATGATCACAATACTGGTAATAGTGTGGAAAACCCAGATGGCCCTCAGCCTTCCACCTCTGTTGCTGGGCCGTCTTGCTCATGTTCAGTTGTACCAGAACCAAAGAGGAAACTCCTATTTTTCCATATCCTGGACTCAGATGTCAGCATTGGTGATGATAGTGATAGTGAATATGAACTCCAAGCTCTTAAAAACAGTTCCAGTAGCGATAGTGAAGTGGAATATTCTCCAGTGAAGCATCAGTATATACAATGATACATGCGCTCTGGTAATGTGCCATATGCTATTCCAAGGGGAAGGAGTACATATTGGAGTACATCCCATGGCTGTACAATGGGAACAGATAGTGAAAATGAAGATGATAGTGTTGCAGTTGGGATGGAAAATGTGCATGGCGGTGGTAGTGGTGGTGCCGGCCGTGAGGCACCAGCAGTGGGCCATGCTGCCACCCATGCTGCCACCTACTCCGCTGCCTCAGCTGATCAACAACAAAGGCCACCATCCCCCACCCACCCACCACACCAGCCTCCACAACCACATCCTCCACAATCACAAACTCCACAACCACAACCACCTGTCAATCAATATCCAGTACCCACCAGCAGACTGCACCTGGGATTGTCTGGAAGCTGCCAATTTTGTTCCAATTCCCCATCAGTTTGATGAAAGTCAAAGTGGAATACGGCCATCTTATACACTTGGGAACAATGCCAGTGAACTGGAATGTTTCGAGTTATTCTTGACGAACCCCTGATGGACACTATTGTCAGATAAAGCAACAGATACTTCGATTACACCATGGCAAACACAATACTTTCACCAAAATCATGCCTACACCAGTGGAAGGAGACACCTGTGGCTGAGATGTATCTTTTCTTTGCCACAATAATGCTTATGACACATGTGTATAAGCACACTGTGAAATCATACTGGTCAACAGACCGCCTGATTGCAACCCCAAGTTTCAGTGATATAATGCAAGCGAATCGATTTGTACTACTATTATGTATACTTCACTTGTTAGACAAAACCAGGCCTGACAGAAACGACAGGTTATATAAGATTAGGAATGTGTTTGTGTATCTGAAAGAGAGATTCAATATCTATTTTTATCCCTTCAGGAAGCTTGTTATTGATGAGTCTTTGATTCTGTTCAAAGGAAGACTCATTCAAGCAGTACATACCAAGGAGAGGAAACGCTTTGGTATAAAGTTGTTTGTGCTCTGTGACTGCTACAGTGGTCTTGTATTGGATATTATTGTGTACACTGGAAGCTATACATTGCAAAATACCAGGAAGGTATTGGGCATCTCTGGTGATATGGTTAGAACAATGATAGAATCATATCTTGGTAAGGGGCATATATTATATACTGATAACTGGTACACAAGCCCCTCAGTGATTGCGAGTGAACATGACAGATGTGTGTGGCACAATGCGTGCAAATCGTAAACATATGCCCAGGTTTAACGCTGGCACTCGTAGAGGTGAGGTGCAGGCGTTTGCTGCCAATGACATCATGGCATTTCGGTAGCATGACAAACTAGATGTCACACTGTTGTCATCAGTTCACCCTAATGAAATGACAAACACTGGCAAGCAGCATAGAGAGAGCAATGAACCCATTCTAAAACCTGCAGCTTTGATTGATTACACCTTCAATATGCACTCAGTGGACAAATGTGACATGCAGATTGGGTTTGCTGATTGTGTTCACAAGAGTTATAAGTGGTACATAAAACTTTTTCCATCTTCTGGACATTTCTATGCTCAATGCTTATAATATGTATAAGATGAGGACCAGAAACAAACCACCATATGGCGAATTTTGTTTGTCTGTCATCAGACAAATAGTATTCAAGTGCCAAGGAGCAACACCTGCAATAGAAAACCGCCCACTAAATTATCAACAACTACCTTCTCATCTGAAGCATGGTGATCACTTCCTAATAAAACTGCCTGCTACTGCTTTCAAGAAAAAGGCTCAGAAGAGGTGTTACATCTGTGCGCTTACAAAAAAATGCCCACAACAACGCAGAGACACTCGTTTTATGTGTGAAGAGTGTAAAACACCACTGTGCATGGCACCATGTTTCAAAGAGTTCCACAGGCTGCAGAACTTCTAGAAACATTCCCTGTGACTGTATATGTGTATATAAAATATAGAAAAATAGTAATAAACAACATTTTATATCGTTTGTGTGTGTAAACAACTTTTATAAACAATATAGTGACAACAGTGTTTGTGCAGTTATTTTGTAGTAAATAAAGGGAAAAAACTTACAAAAGAGTGCTCATATTGGTCTCACAGGCCATAAAAGTTACTTAAAAAAAATAAAAAATAATAGAAAACACTGAAAAAACTAAATAAACTAAAACTAGGTGACTGGCAGTTGGCAATGTTGCCGTATGCCGGTCATTTTCTGGTAAAAATTTTTTGAAGATTGAGACACTTATGCAACATATGGGAATCTTTATTCAGGAAACATTTCGCCACACAGTGGCTTCATCAGTCCAATACAAAGTAGAAAGGTGTAAGGAGAGGAGGAGTTTGAGGTAATCAGTCCCTCAGCCTGGAGTCGATGTGTTCAGTCCATCAATCTTGTAGAATGTACAGCATAGGGCCGTAGATGTGGCATATATACAGTAGTGAGGTGAGGTGAAGCAGGAGGAGGTGGGGTCATAGTGGTACCATCCACTAGTCGAAGTAGGTCTTCGTCCAAAGGTTGGACAAGTGTTGAAGAATTCTTTGTAACAAGATCCCATGATGTTGCAG